AGTGTGAATGATCCAGTGTTGGCCAAAAGTAGATCATATAATGTTTTTTACATGTAAAAAGTTTAAACGTCATAATTCATGTAAAAAGTTTAAACATCATAATTTAGTCATGATATTAAATGATCTACTATTGGCTAATTGTCATGTGCTATTGACCCCATTGGCTCGTGGCTTCATGTTCGGCTATGTTCGGCTTCAGATCTTTAGCCAAGCTGTTTCTAGAGCCGATACTTTATTAGTAGACCCTTAGCCAAGCTGATAATCGGCTCGGCTTAGCTGATCGGCTTGCGGTTTAGCCTTAGCCGTTCGCATCACTAACTACAGTTACATCAACATTATAATTTTGTCCAAATTGAACTGTTCCAAGGAACACATTAACCCTATTTTAAATTTATAAGGTTCAAATATATAGTTAGAATAATTTTTTAAAACATTAGAATTAAAGAATTATAATAATTTATACAATGCACAGGCCATAACTGTCGCTCCCAAATAAAAATACATATACGTATTTTAACCAGTGTAATATCCTGGTTGCAAAAAAATTTATATGTAAATATATGATTAAATAGATGTATGAAGGATATTAAATTTCAATTATATTTACTTACCTGCAGATTCAACATAAGCCAATCCAAACATTGCTAATAATCCAAGTCCAACTTGAGCAACTAAAATTGTATAAATTGTGGTACCAAGTCTGAATACAATTTAAAAAGATTAAAATTGTAAACATAATTTTACTGTAAGTATATTCAAGGCGAAGTCTAAGTCTAACTGTTTATATAATCACACGAAACAATGCGTGCATTCCATTAGGAACTCTAAATTGGATGGTAATTGAAGACATTGCTACAGCTCCAAATATTCCAACACAAATAGCGCCAAGAATTTGAAGGTTACGATGCTGCGAATAATTAATAATAAAAAGAATACTTATTTGAGCTTGATAAGCCATATTTTTTCCTGAATATACACTAAAAAGCATACCTTAAAAATGTATGTACATTGCAGAATCCTCGAATTTTTTAAAATATTGTTACAATATAGTTATAATATTGTAATAATCACTTTACTATATTTAAAAAAATTTTTATAGCATTTCTGTAACTTTTATACTATTTTAATTTTTTGTCTTGTAAATTTCTTATAACTATATTATAACTATATAGTTGCAATATCATTATAATATCATTAAAATATAATAATAAATATTTTGTAATATTATTGCAATATTGTTACTATATTATAATTTTTAAAATATCAAGACTATATCAAAACTATATCGTAGCTATATCATAGCTATATCGTTTTAACCTTTCTCGTAAGTTTCTTGTAACAATATTTTAAAAAATTCAAAGTTTCTGCAATGTATCTCTATGTCTCATATACCTAACAATCCATATTGATATTAAGTTTGTTGTAGATAAAAACGCAATATTTACAACATTTGAATTTATTATTTTATGTTAAAATAACATAAAAATAATTATCAGAAACTTTTCATGAAATACCTGGGAATAAGACAATATGAAATATAATATGTAAATGTAAGAAAAAAACATTCCAATTCCGTGGGTCAATTGCATATCTCTACTATTCACAAATTAGTACCAACAGAAGTTACTTTGTCCTGGAATGAAATTGACTAGCATAAGACCTCTATTTCACCATGGTAATTTAGTTGATAGCTGTTTGGATTAAAAGCAAAGATTGCTATAAAGGAATTTTATAAATAAAGTGTCTCATTTTTTCAAAAATAACGTGTAATATAAAATACTGTAAATAACTAAATAACATACTTTTTATCGAGGAAGCAGTAATTGGTTTTCGATTAGGTGCATTAAGGAGACGTTTAAATTCCACTTGGGTGAATCCTTCTTCTGTAACAGTTCTATTTACAATAGTAAGAAATTTGGCAGTATCGTCTTTAGTTGGACGTTAGTAACCAGTAGATATGTAAACTCCAACGTCTATGCTTGATGAATCTGTTGAATTGACTGATATGATTGTCATATCAGCGTTCTATGAATAAATATATTTGTTGACTTTTTATTTATACAAGTCGCAATAGTTTGAATGAAATGAAACCATTTTTTTAAAATATACCGTCATGCCATTATCTGTAGGGTTCAGTGTTGGCCCATGACAAGGTCATAACAGGTCATATTACTAAGTTCAATTAGTGATGTCATATGACCTCAGTCATATGATCTTACTAATTGAACTTAGTAATATGACCTGTTATGACCTTGTCATGGGCCAACACTGGTAGGGTTGAAACCAATACCACACCAGCCGTTCGAACTTTGTAATGTTATTAAAAAATAAATGTCAGAACCATCAATTCTCCATTGAGCTTGATATGTATTGGAAAACTTTAAGACATTAAATTGAGGATAAGAATTAGTGGTGGTGACATTTGGAACAGTGCTTGGTTTATTTCTTCTAATCACAAATTGCTAATGTTGTATTATGAACTAAGTCTATTTCATCTTTTAGTAAATTCCAGCATCCGGAGATTCATACCTATCATTGGTATTAATAATATAATTTTTAAAAATATTAATTTTTGAACAATTAATTACCAATTAATTTAACAATTACTTTAACAATTAATTAATAACTAACCAAAATCTATCAAAATCACGTATCTTAGTCCACTGAACATTAATAAAATTTACATGATTATTCAATGTATAATACAATACTTTGTCTCAATACAGCAATACAATCTAAAATTAATTCAAATTACCTGATCACATAGCTAGCATAAAATAATGGACCAAGTTTTGAACCATTAACATGATCCTCAGCAAGACCTCCTGGAAAAGCTTCAAATTTTTAGCGAGCAAAATAATAAATGTCTTTTTTTTTCTTACACCCTTAAGTTAAATGTATAAATGATTTGATTCTATTCTTTTTATTAAATAAAAAATAATTATATTAAATTTTATAATTTTCTATATTATATATAATTTTATAAATTGACAAGTACTGTATGACATAAATAGTAATTCTAAATATGGATTACTGTAACGGTAATAGAAAAAAATTCAATTTAATCGCGGAGTAATGACGATCCGAGCGATCAATTAATTAATAGATTTCACGAAAGCACCATTTCACTGTCAAAATTTCCTATAGACCTACCATATCCCATAATATGTTTGGTTATTATATCGGTAAATTTGAACCATCGATGTTACACGACTGAACTTTCACCCGGTGTGCAACATATTTACAATTACATGTTATGATTATAATCCCACTCCATTTTATTATAATAAAAATGGAGTCGGATTATAATCATAACATGTACTAGCGGAATGATCTGGTATTGTAAATCATTTTTTTATATGCTGCACACCAGGTGAAAGTTCAGTCGTGTAACTTCGATGGTGCCTCCTGTTATAATAAATATCAAATTCTTACTACTTCTAGAATTTCTTTTTCCTAACCTGATAAGGTAAATAATCATTTACAAATTTTTTAAATGAAAATAAAACCTGGTTCCTGAAAATCGCAACCTGGTTATATATTGAAAAAATTAATCTAACTATAACAATAAGTACATTGTTTATTTATTAAATTGGATGAAATTAATTATCGTTAATAAAAATAATTAAATATTTTATCAAATAAAAATTTGCATGATATACAAAATGTCAACAAAAATAATTTTGGACGATATATTGGATACCAATCTTGACTTCTTTCAAGCTAGGCTTAATAACTTTTCAGTACTGCTGTACGAATACTAATATACCGAGCAATAATCATCGAAGTAAAAATAGAGATGGGAAAAATGCGCATTTTATAATAACATGCGCTATATAAAATGCGCATGATATCGCATTATATAATTTTTTGATTTTATATTTTCCCTCTGGATATTTTCCCCGTCCCTTCTCATCTTTATGTTTATTCATTTTCTTTTCGGAATTTTTTCAAAACTTCTGCATTCCTATTTCTTAATTTTGCCTGGCATTATACGTCTTGGCCTAAATTAAATATATTTTAATTTTCCTATATAAAATTTAGATGGGATAAAATGCGCATGATTCCGAATCATGCGCATTAATGCGCACGATTGAGGAATCATGCGCGCGCATGAAACCCATCTCTAAGTAAAAATAGTGGTTGACTAATATTTTTCTTAAATCAATTATTATAAAATGCACCTATGGTGTTTAGCACCATATATAATTGTTTTTAAGGTTAGGGTGCATTTTTTATGAATTTTTTTTTTTTATATGATATATATTATATATAAGGTTCTAATTTTAGTTTTTGTGAGGTTTTTGGGGGGTCTGAACATTTTTACTTAGAATGCCTGATCCAGTTTACTTAGTACGTTTTTGAGAAATAGGAACCTATGGTGTTAAACACCATAGCGATAGGTGCATTTTAGTAAATCCGTTTTTCTTATATGTAATAATTGAGTTCTCCTCCGTCTGATAGTGACACGATTAATCATTAATAACCGTTATTTAGTGCTAATGTGTTACAAATATCAGAAACAAGATTGTTATTTGGAATAATTTACCTATCGTTATCTTAGTAACACTATAATCGCTTATCTTAAATTATTTTAGACTGGACTGGTATATCATTTATTATCGTTATTACAGTAATTAGTTTCCTTACATATCAGATTTATACGTATTTATCGTTATATGTTTAGCCTTATTTATTTTTTTATGCAAGGGTAAATCTTTAAACTGAAATGACGCGATCCATCCTAATGTACTTGTTCATTTTTCGATCGTCGATCCACATTCTTCCTTATACATAAAGTTTAATAGTTATGGTGTGTTAGAATTAGGGTGATATTCAGTATTAAATTTCTGAAATTTTTGTTAAAAAAATAAATTGATAATTTTATGTTCTTATAACCATTTTAATGCTCTTAATTGGTATCCATATGCTGTACTAAATTTGGTACAATGTACTAAATTTAAAAATTAAATTTTAAAAAATTTTATTATTAACTTTAAATTAAATTTATCTAACAATAATACTGTGTTTATATTTTTTTTGGTATATTTAAAAATTAGTTAACTTATCAAAAATTATATTAATAAGTTCAAAATTTAATTTGGTACTAAAAAATGACTAAAAAATAAGTAAAAATTTGCTAAATTATAAATAGTAAAAAATTATTTGATTAAAATCTTTTAAAATATTAGCAGAAGTTGTAAACCTAGTTTTTTTGATTCTAATTATAATAAAATCATTAAAATTGGCTTAATGTATAAAAAAATTATAAATAATTTAATTTAATCAATTTTTTACAATATATTTAAAGAAGTGATTTATCATCTGATTTTTTAGTAGAGAAGTGAGACCAAAATATTATACCAATAAATTATGTGTATATGTGTTTATATACAATCATAATCATTTGAGAGAGGTGAATTTTATTATTTACAAATAAATAGCTGATAAATAATACTTCTCTTACTATGTTTTACTATATAAAATAGTAAAAAAAAATTAACTATTTTTAAACTGCAATACTTAAATATAGGTTTATTTGAATTATTTTAAAAAATTATTATTTATTTTTTAATTATTTATTTTAAAATCAGACCCAAATTTAAAATAATTTAAAATTTTTGTTTTTTTTTTATTTTCTTATAAACCTTTATATAATATGATTTTTTTAATACTATACTAAATTTAGTATAGCAAAACTTTAGATTAAATTATACAAAATTTATTAATAAATAATATTAAAATTATACAAAAAGATAGCTCTAATATTCAAACATATTTTGACAAAATTCAAATAAATCTGATTAAATAATTAATTCAAAATAATTTTTTATATATACTAAATTTTGTACAATAGCAATATAGACCTATTAATAAAAAAAAAGATAAAAGATAAAAGAAAAAATCATAACTTTTCCTGACAATCACTTTTTTTCACAAAAATTCAAAATTCTTAAAAAATACAAGCATCTATAAAAATAGAAACTGTCTGGAAAGTAGTATTAGTGCCTTTCTATGGATTCAGTGTGTTGAGTAAAGAAAATATACACTCTTTTATTAAACAAAACAAAGTGAGTTTATCTTTTTTCTCTGCCTTCTTGCCACTCTTCCAAAATTTTCTATAAAAGTGGGCAAAACAGCTTACCCCCTCCAAAAGATCAGCATGATTTACACCTTCCAAATCTAGATAGTTCCAGCAGACTGTGATTATATGCCTGATTTGTTTTGTTTATAGACCATGCTGCTTCACATAATACCAAGATTGGCTACTTACATAATTTAGGAGTCAAGATAATTTAGTCAGAAAATTTTTTTGATAAGGTGAAACTTTACACTAGAGATATACAAATATTGTATTTATTATATAATTTTTTTCAGCCTAGTATGGGTAATAGTAGTGCTAAAAAAACAGAATTTTCTGCTATCCTTTTTGTTTTCTTTTTTTTGTAATTTTTTCTTTTATATTTCTTTTGTATTTATTTTTTTCTCTATATTCTTCTTTGTTTTTTTTTTTCTATTTTGTTTTTGTCATTTTCGTTTTATTTGTATTTTTTGTTTTCTTACCCCCATTTGTTGCATACTCCTTTGAAGAAGAAAAAATGTTAAGAAAAGGCAATCTTGACAAAGCTAGTAATAAGCTTTCAGTAATTTTTTTGGAAGTCAACTAGTAAGTAAAATGTTGGAGAGAGGTAAATTATTGCTGCGGCAAATCACACTTGGGCACCATTACAAGCAGCTGAGTGAGTCTTTATTGAAGAGTATAAGAGTAGAAGATATTGAGTTTATTGTAGACTTTTTGTTCAGAAACTATGTATTTTGATTATGCACTCCTAATACAATAAAGGCAGGATTGTCAAATTAAAAAAAAAGATAAAAGAAAAAATATATTTTCTATATTATAAAAGTATAAATTATAAATTTTATATTATTATTAATATTTTTTTTTTTTGGTATTAATATAAGGCCTTGCTTATATCTTTATTGAATAATTTATATCAATAATTACTATCAACTATATAAAAACTTAATTTATATAATGATAAATAAATTTAAAAATAAAAGCTTAAACTAAAAGTTTAAACTAAAAACTCAAACTAATTATCTGCAATCTAAATCTACTAGAGTGGTCAAGATTTGAATTGTTAGAATATAGTTAATAGGTGTGCTATATTTAATCTGTATAGTAGACCAAATATTAAATCTTCTTTTCATTGTTTAGGTATGGTTTGAGAAAAAAAACAATGATTGAAAAAAGATATTATAGTAGTAATGAAGTTAGAGTCAGCATGTTTTAAAATTTTATAGCTAATGCTAATGGTCTACAAGCTCAGTTATTAGGAAGTTGATAAATAGTTAACATAATTTTATCTTTAGTAAAGTTAATAATAGTATTAAAATACTATATAGGATTAATATTAGATTTAGGATTATATTCTGCTTGTTATTAAAAATTGAAAATATCAGAGTTGATGAGTTGAGGAGCAGTTCAGTTTTTGAAGTGTTGTTGAATATGAGATTTAATTATTGGAGAGTTAGTAATAATATCATTATCTAATCAGATATTGTTAAATTTAACTAGATCTTTGTAGCGATTAAAAATAGTATTAATCATTGAAGTAGGATGAGTTTGAAGTTTAGACCATTTTTAGTTAATAGCATTAAAAATTTGTTGTCTGATTTCTTTAATATTTTCCATATTACAAGTATAGAAAGATTTTTCACTATAAGTTAGTATTAGTAATTCAAAAAATAAGAAGTTGGTATAAATTTGGAAGTAAAGGAATATGCAACTTAGAGAATTGATTAAGTAAAGAAATAGAAATATTAAAATAATAAGAAATAGGTAACTGGTGTTTTAAAGCATGTTTAGTTTGTCAAATAATATTGCCAAGTTTTTAAAGGTTTGAGTATAGGTGAGTAGTCTTAAAAGAGAATGTATATTGGAAATTATTAGAGCTGTGACCCAGGTCAAAAAATAGCGATCCGGGTTTGACCCGGGACAACTATTTTTGACCCAGGTTAACCCTTGTCAATAGTCACATAGATTAAGCTTGAAAATATATTTTGAAATATAACTATTTTTACTTGGAAAATCTTGGGTTTTGTGTCAAAAAAACTTTTGACCTTGCTCGTAATTAGAGTTCTTTCATTTTCTATATCGAA